TAAGGGCAGGAATAAGTATCTGTCAGAAATAATTTGTTGTTGACAGGCTTATTGCCTCCAAGGGATTTGAGTGCCCTTTTGGGGAGCCAGTATCTTATGTTATTGGCTAATATCATGTATTTCGTTTGGGGCAGAGGGACTGAAAGCTTAAAAAAAAATGCCAGAGTGTTTGTCCTTGCATATTTAGCTGCAGAAATCTCTTTTTTTTTTAGAGTCCACTTGTCCATAGAGTCCATGGCAACTTGAGACTACGTAACCCATAGATATATCAAAAATATGTAATTCCTCTCACCTGTAATGAAAAGGGAGGACATCTTTGCCTCAAATCAAAGTCAGTGTTTTGGTTTAGTTCAAAATAACTTGGACATTCACAGCAGTATCAGCTTAAGTTTTTCTACTGGCTTCATGAATTGCACAGACAATGTTTATAAACGGCAAGGAAACTTCTGATGAAGCTGTTAGTAGTTTAGAGTTCAGTTAAATTGTGTGTGACTTTGAAACTTGGAGTTTCAGATAATATTTTTCACAGCTCCGCTGATGAGGCATTTCATTAGCATTGGAGCATACATTGGCCAAGAAAATAACCTTTTACCATAGGTTCCGTGCATGTATTTAATCTCCTTTCACTTTTATTTTTTTCCATCTGATGGAGTGTCTCACTCTCCTCCTCTCATCACTGTTGGAAGAATTATTCTGTCACACAACACAGCATCTTCTCCACAAAGACTTACCAGGTCAAAAAGAGCTTGTTTTTTAGAGTTAAAAAGTACATAATTACTATGTAGAAAAATTACACAGAAAAACCTATCTAACGCTAGGTTTCTAAACCTCTTAAAACTGTTCTATCCCATGACTGTGGGTTTGCTGGTGACAAATGTTTTATGGGCATACTTTAGTAGACACTCGTCTAAAATCTGTTCTTAATAGTCAGATTCTAAATTGGAACCAGAGGGGCAGAAAAACCAGATTTGAAACGTGTTTCTAAGGGTTTGTTTTTACTTTCAGTTGAGACTGCCTTCTCTCATCTTTTGTACTGCTGTCAAAAGGGCCACTCTCATGGTTGTTCAAACTCCGTGCTTCTTGACAGGAACAGTTGGACCCCTCTTCAATGATTTTCAGATGAAACGGCTTCCAAACCTCCAGAGCTTTAACTTGTAGTTATTAGGCCCTTTGAAATAGCAACACATTAATCAGCTGAAATCAAGTGGTGCTTTCTCCAAGGCTGTGATATTGCTGTTCTCTTCTAGGTAGAACTCTAGTCTAAATATTAGTTTCAAGAGCTTTTTTCTTTTTTTTTTTTTGGTCCTCTAGATAGGCCTATCCCATTTCTGCTTCTGTTTTGATCATTGTTTTATAATGCTGTGAATTAAATTGATCAGTTTTAGAATACTCTCAAATTGCATTAAAATCAGTAACGCAGAAAGCTAGCTTCCACTTGTTTGACTTATGTTTTAGAAATTGGCTACGGTCCTTTTAACTTCTCTCATGCACAGTGTGAAGCCCAGCAGAAAAGGTATCGATGATGTAATGGATTATGTCTGACAGAACTTGTTCTAACAATGACGTGAAACATTGAAAAAAGTATGGTTTGTTAAAACTGGATCATTTGAAACAGGGATTTGGTTTCTGTCCCTGACTTCTGTGATACTGAGCAAGTGATCTGAACCCATTAATGACTTCCCTTACCAGTCTATGTATTAAGCAAAAGACAGACTAGGGATTACAAGAAATCGGGAAGATATTGTTCCTTGCAATAGTCATTATATACATCAGCAGCTGAACCATTCTTGAGTTTTGGCAAAAAGTATTGCTAAGAAAATAATTTAGGGAGGGTAACGCAAGGGCTTCTCCCACACATAAGGTATCACTGGGGAGAAAATAAAAAAACCCCATATGATTTAGAACCTTATACTTTGAGGAGTAGCTGTCTGTATCACAAGGCTGCTAATGCTGTAGTTAGTGTCAGGGAGCTGCATGAGAGTTGATAAAATAGGACAGAGGCTTGTTTGGGAGCTGCATTGAAAGCTGATGCTGCAGAACTACTCAAAAGGCTGTTAGAATGCAGAAATATTTCTATTCGCTTTATAAACACCCTCTGAACTTTTATTATGTACTGTATGTTCACAGCAATCATTTCTCATACCTCCGAGGCTAAATAATTTCTGAATAGCTAAATCAATTTGTCTTGTGTCTGTGTTGTGTCACAGTAATGAAAGTTCCTTTTACTGTGGCAGTAGCAGTAAAGCATCTCTTCTGAAGGAGATGTGAGAGCTCTATCAAAGCATTGCTGTCTGAGTTACAACTCAGCAACTGATTAACCAGTCAGCATTAGAAAGGAAGTGACAGTATGCCTCAGCTATCAGTTGAGACTACAGTGAGATTTTGTAATTAAGCCTTAAGTTTTATTTAAGGTCTGAAACTTAATAATACACAAAATGTACTGTTGGATCTAAAATCACCAAGGTCTTGATTTCGTATCTTGCTTAAATGACCTGTGATTGCAAGGTTGTATTATACTTGCAACTGAGCAGAGTGATGTTCATATAGGATGGTGACAGATGCACTAAAATTGGTTCAAGTCCTGCAATTGAATGAATGAAGAGAGGTTCTTCAAGAGCTTCATTGACTCCTGTAGGACTTTGCCTAGCTGACTGCTGGTGGAGTCTTTTTGCTGCATTAGGAGAAGACTGAGTTTGCTAATACCCCAAGGAGATGATGTAAATGCAACCTGATGAAGCAAATGTTTTGAATTAATACCTGGCAATATGAATTTCCATGAAGCAGTTTACATAAGGATCAGATGCCTATTCATATGTCTGTGTGTTTGTCTATTTCTATCTGTCCATATATACCTGTGTTAGATATCTGTATAGATATGTACAATAACAGGTCCTTGTTCTTTAGAGTGACATTTGAAGTAGGACAGGAGCTGGTATCACTTTCACTTTGTATTAAAAAGCAAGTAGAGATTCATCCAAGGGAGTTGGAATAGCTTCAGAGGAAATTGTTCAGATTAGAACTTTTCATTTATGGAATACTTTTTAGCTTGGAATATCACAGTTTTTGAAGTCTGTATTAACTAACGTCATGCAGGGCTCTTGTAAGACAGATCAAGTACCACATCCTCATGGCCAGAATTCCTGTGTTTCTGTTGCCTTGCTTACATATGAAATGTGACTGTTGGAATCATTATAATTTCTAATTTTTTAGTATGTTGAAAAGCAGGATCAAAAAGAAAAAAATAAATCAAAACCAAATCCTCTTTTACGTTTGTATGCTGCAAGTCAGTAGTATTGGGATATATTGTCTGAATGTCAGCCCATTTTATAAATTAATATATCTCAAAAATTGTTTTACTGGCCTACAAATGCCAAGAACAGAATGACAGTCTAATTCTTTGCATAGCAACAGCAAACATAAAATCAGGTTCACTCTAGAAAACGCAACTGCTGCTTGAGCAGGGTTATGGATACAGTCATTGTTTCTTGGTTTATGTTTGGCCCCTGGTAGATATTAACTGGCCATTTGTCTGATGTAAGATGAGCCTTTTTGTTTAAAAGTTACAACAGCTGCTGTTTTGTAGGGGTATAAATTCTCACCCCGCTGAACATAGTGGGAAGTGCTGCTTTGGTACAGTGTGGTTAGACTTTCAGGTCCATAACACAGAATACATTGCCATAAATATCCCATGCTGCAAGTGCCAGTGTTGCTTTTATATGTAGTATCTGATGGACCAGAGGATGAAGGGAGGTAGATTTAGCTTTCTGATCACCCATAGAGTTTTCCCTTCATTTCAGTTTGAGATACATTAACTGTATCTGACTCATTTTCATCTACTTGCGGTATTCTAAAGCTGTGATTTTTGTTTCTGATAGTTCCAGGTTCCTTTGGGGAAGAAAAATCAGATAAATATGTTTGTGCCTTGTCTTTAAAGGAGATTGTTTAAAATAGCTTCAAGTTACTACCAGCATTAGGCAGTTCTTCTGGAAACACGTTGTATAAGTAGAAAAGGAAATGGGATCACAACATGCATTTTATGACAGTTCTGGATTTAGTTTATTAACTTTGTATTGCCAACCACTTCAAGTTTGCGGTCTGTTCAGGTATCATTGATATTTGTAAGATAGGTTTGCAGTTTGGCTTGGTATCATTTTTATTTTTTTTTTTGAAAAATCCTAAGTGCTTTTTAAATCACCACTATGTTAGTTGCATGTTTTGCTGATCCAATTTGCAGAACAGAACTTCAAAATCTGGCTTGTGGTTTTGTTATTAGTGGATTTTGTGAGATACCACTCCAAATGCACAATATCATACCATTTCTGGGGAGAGACTCCAACCAGCTAGTAAAGTCAGAATACGCTGTGCTGAAAAATGGCAAGGGTATGAGAATGGAGACTAGGATCACTGGATCCCTTTCCAAAATAATGCATCACATGCAACCCTAGAGCCTTGCCTCCTAGAAGATGATGGTCCTTTCTCTGTGCTGCTATGCCAAGAGCATAGGTGGATTAATGGTGAAGAAGCATTTGTTGATCATCCTCTGTGGAGTGATAAGGGAGCTGGGTGGCTCCTGTTGCACAAGAGGAAGAAACTCTCCTCTAGCCTGTGAAATACTCCCTGGCCATTAGGTTTTGATGAAACGAGGCAGGTTTACCTCTCTAAGTGGGTCTGTTATACACTAGCACTAAGGACAAAAGGCTTTCAGGCTTGAGGGAGTCTCAGGAAGGAGTGAATAAAGCCTTCAAACTAAACTTATATTTGTAGCCTTGAAACTTCACCAGAAACAGTGGAGGAGAAGCGACCAAATGGCAGCCTGATGGATTCAAACAGAAGAGAAAGCACGTTTTGCAATCAGATTTTATTTGCCAAAATAATAATATGAATGAGGTTAACAGAGATTCAAGGATGAATGTACATAGGGACGATGACTGAAAGGCCACCTTATATCTTTCTCTTTAAACAGTTGTATGTATTCCCTTTTGCTGCTTTATTTCTCTCAGGTATTTGTGGTCACCGTCTGGAGTGTGGAACTGTACATGGTGCCCCTGGCTCTGCTGGTGCTCTTTGCATACAACTTCTCCCTTGTCACAACTGGGAAGGTCAACAACACCCAAGATGCCCAGGCAAGTAAAGTGGCAATAACATTTCTGGCAGCCCCAGCTTGAATTTGCCCTTGAGCAAAATGTCAGGCATTTTAATGGTATCAAACTAGTTGTATAGCTAAACAACATTTTTATTTCGAAGTTACTGAAAAGAAAACTCAACCCTCTCATTTTCATGACTAAATTCGAGCAATAAACCATTCAGAGTAGTAGGAGAAGACGATAAGAGTGTGTAGGAGGGGGATTTCACTTACTAAATAACTACAAATGTTTTTAACAAAGTTGAAATAAGAAGGACTTACAAAGCAACAAGTTCCTAAAACCCATGCCCCTACTGCTCTTACACTTTGCATCACACTGATGATTCGTGATTCACAGAAGAGGAAAGTCGATAGAAGACGAAAGAGAAGTTAGTTGTTTTTAAACCTTGTCCTGTGATCTGAGACTTTAAGAAGCCCTTATTCCTCCTCCCCACCCCCCACTTTTAAATGACAAATGCTTTTTTTCCCCAGAAAATTAGCCTTCAGTTTTCAAACATTATGTGGGAGAAAAAAAGAATTAAACTCCAAAATAATTACAACATGTGTGGCGAAGTGCTACTGTTGGGGTTTGAAATGCTGCTTGACGCTGGCCGCTGTCTTTACTTACATAGCAATGGTAATTAGAGTTAGAAATGAGAGTAAATTCATGAGCATCCATAATATTCTGTTTTTAAATGTGTACTAAGTACAGTAATGAAATCGAGGCCAAATTATAGCTTCCTTCTAACTTTTGGTAAAAATGATTGACATTTTTACCTATGAAGAATACCTTTACTCAGACGACTCGAATGGATTTTCCACAAAGAAATAACATTCTAGAATTAGAAAGGTCAATAGTTGGTTTATTAGTTTCAGTGAGAAAAGCTGCTTCTGGTTCAGTTTTCATCTGTTCCCACCCGGAAAGTTTGGTAGAGAATAGGGAAAGTTGCATTATCCAGATCTGGACGAGGATCTCATTTGAAAACAAATAGTAAAAGAAATGCTTCTGTCCCGTTCCAGCCAAGTCCAGAAAACATAGAAAGATATTGTGCGTCTTCAATGATTACTTTATTTCATCAAGAAAATGAGAACTTCCCATGTGGGAGAATCCCAGTCAAATAGGTGTTTTTGGTTTTAATAGAAAAGACTATATAAAATAATAACTACTTACCCAGGAAAAAATACAAAGAGAATACCTTCCAGCACCCATCACTCATTCTGTGGTGAGTTTGTTGGATGTTCAAGTGAGAAGAGCCTCACATAATTCAGCAAAATTGAGCAGTACATCATGTAGGTGTATACTACAAAAAGTCTGTATCTGAAAATACAAGTTAATCGTAGTAATACTGAAGAAAGGTTCATCAGAAAATTGGCCCTTTTCTGGTCCCACATCCTGCAACAACGCAATGCCATGAAATTCAGGGGTGCATTTTGCATAAGCAAAGTTACACATCTGCCTAAGTGCTTTGCAGGATTGGGATCATATGGAACAAGTAGTCAAAGTGCCTTTAATATTACCTGATTTCTTTTTATGTGTGTCTATGATTCTAACCATCTGTAGGTCAAAAATAGACAATCAGGTGCTACCTCTAGTCACATCTGTCCTGCAGATGAGAGAAAGTTTTCTTCAAAATACCAATGCTTTTTACAGAGTCATTTATTTATTTTTCACTTCTTCAGACCTTGGCTGCATGTGCATAACCTTTGGGTTTTGTGTGCCAGCATGTACATTCCATGTACATAGAGGAATGTGAGCAACAGTCTTTGCAAAAGTGGACCTCAAATTCTCTTCCATTTCTGTGCTATAAAATAGGAATAACAGTATTAACCTTGTATGCATGATGCAGTTGCCAGAAGGCTGATTTTGTGAATATTGGTAAAATCGTTTATGATTTACAGATGAGGAGCTTCTAGAGAAATGTAAACCATGACCAGCCTTGAGAAGAGAAGGCTTAGGGGAGACCTCATCACCATGCTCCAATATTTAAAGGGTGGCTACAAAGAAGATGGAAACTCCCTTTTTATAAGGAGTTGCATGGAAAAGACGAGGGGTAATGGGTACAAGTTACCTCTGGGGAGATTCTGATTGGACACAAGTGGCAAATTTTTCACAATGAGAACAATCGGTCATTGGAATAATCTCCCCAGAGAAGTGGTGGATTCCCTAACACTGAACACTTTTAAGATTCAGTTGGACAGGGTGCTGGGACATCTTGTCTAGACCATGCTTTTGCCAAGAAAGATTGGACAAGATGATCCTTGAGGTCCCTTCCAGCCTGGTATTCTAAATCAATGATCAGTGTTAATTCAGCTGCTCAGGGTATTCCAGAGAGTCAAAGGGTAAATCTGGGTATCTGAGCTCTCAGTACCTTCTTCATACTAGATGTAACTGCTTTTCTGGGGAAAAGAAAAACAAACAAACAAAACAAAACACTCAAACCCCCCAATAAACCCAAATCCAAAACATCTTTTTATTATATTGTGATTCTTCACATTCTTTGCATGTTTGCCATATTTAAACTTGTACACCGGTTCAAATGTACCTATTTTATAACCAAGAAAAACTCAGATAACCCTGTTAAAGGCTAAATACTTGAATTGAAAAACAAGTGCTAATTTTAATTCTTAGCCAAGTCTTTTGTGTTCTCCCCTACCTGTCAGTGTAGAAGGTAAAGGGAGGAAATAATGCTGCATAGAAATCTGACTGTGATTTCTGAGATTGATTATGTTCATACTAATGTATTTTCTCAAGTCTACTGTTTCAGTAATGGGTCTAAAGGGAGGGAACACTCATTGTAGCAGTGAGGATGGAACAAGTTGAGTATAGAATCCTCAGCCTTGACATACCGGCTGGTTCATTTGTGAGACTAAGAACAAAGCTGTTTACAGACAGTAAAAGTTGACAATGAATTTGAAAGCCTGTTGCCTTCAAACTGCTGGACACAGTGACTAAAGCTTTATTTAGACTTAAAATTTGTATAGGGTATTGCATGCTTTGTTCAAAAAAAAAAAAGTCCTTGAATACAAAACGTTATTTCTGAAAGGTGAAAGTGGTGAGGTTTTTGATGACTTGCAATAGAAGTGGGAGAAAACTGTAATGAAATGTTGTGGGAGTATCATAAGCTTTTTGAACATTGCCTGTCACTGAAAAATAAGTGTAGTGTTTTGTAATATGGACATCTGTTTTTTTCAGGAGTTTATGGGCTTGGATGAAGATGATGATGAAGATGACAAGGTAAGCACATCACAATTGTGTTAGCTAGAACCGGAAGGAATGTGGGAGAGTACAAACACACCATCCTATCTCCATGAGATCTTCATTTATTATCTGTATTAACTGGGAAAACAATTGTTGACAGTTTGCTGATTGGAAAATTTGAAAGTATGAAAAGATTGGTTTGTGTAACATTCCATAGTGGCATTACCTGTGCTAGACTTATGAACATTAATTGAATCTGAGAGTTCTTAGTTTGTGCCTGAAATCGTAACAGGCACTCGTTCACGTATGTGCACTTTCAGGTATGTGTATGGGTGGACAAGGTGCAAAGACATGCACGAGTATGTAAATTCCCCTCATCACTTCCATTTCGAGTGTTGGATAGCATCCTGTACTAATGGTTTTCCCAAAATGATTTTCCGTTTTCATTTCTGAAGGCCAGACTTGGCGTGGTATGTGGAAGACTGGTTAGAAATTTCTCGACATTTCTTTCAGAGCCTCGGAAAAAAAACAGTTTTAGTATATCAGCTGAAATGTAGAAAGAACTGGAATTGGCAAGACCTGTTTTTTATTTTATTGGAGTGTACTTACTCATTCTTCTCACTATGAAAAATTCATTGGATTTTTTTTTCAAGTTTATCAAACCACAGTGACAAATGATAAAAGGATTAGAGGGCATGACATATGAGGAAAGATTAAGAGAACTTAATGTATACAGCTTGAAAAAACATAAGTAAGTGAAGGAGGATCTGATAATCTATAAATACTTTAAAGCTAAAAGGTGAGGAATTATTTAACGAGCAACAGCATGCAAAGGAACATTAGCTGTTAGGAAGAAAATGTTCACAAGGCAATGTGAAACTTTCAAATTGCATCCTAAGTTAATAAGACTCTTGAATATTCTGTGTTTTAAGAGTGTTACAGTGAAATTGTTGAACATTGAGAAGTAAATCAATACCACAGTTAGCAAGTGCACCTTAACTCTTCTCAGTCACAGACACTGGAATTGAAGCTCAGCAGACTAATTGATGGGAATAGTTATTTAAATTTAACCTGCTCCTCTGTGGTGATTATATTTTAATGAGCAACGAGAAATCCATCAAAGTTATAAAATGAACTTTAAACAATCTAGTTGAATTACAGGTTTCTTGAAACACACAATAATTGTTTAAATGTTCTCATTTATAATTCACTCTTTGCATTGTAAAATTGGTCAACTAAATGGACCAATATCTGGAACTCACTGGAAGTTGCTAAATGAAAGTTGCATCTTTTTCAAAAGAATACTGTATCTCTAAAAGTCAATTAATTTCTATGTTGTGGGTACCCAAAGCTAGGCACTTGTAAATATTGACCCTACATCTTATTTGTGTGATGTCTAAAGGTGTAACTTATTTTCTGGAACCAATCCCATTTACTTTGTTCTTTTTTAATATTCCTCTTTTTCATTTGCAAGTGCTGAGGTGAAAAAAAAAAAAAAGAGTAAAAATGCATTAAATAAATATTTAATCCTCTGTTTTCTGTGATGTGCAACAGATTTATTACTGCAAAGCCAAAATATTCTAGGTTACATTATACCCTAGATTTAACTCCAGTGACTTTACTTCTCTCTATAAATACAACTGGGTCACTTAAATATGGATCTAATCACTTCGCATTTTTGCCACCCCCCCACCTCCCTGCACCTCCCCTCCCCACTAAACAACTTCACTGACATTCTCTTTCTTGATATTTTTTTTAACTAAGTACGCAGGTTTGGGAAAACTCTCGAGAGTCAGTGTTGAGCTGCCAATGATTTGGCCCTACCATTTTGTAATTAACATTGCCTTTATCTCCTTTTCATACATGTACAGTGACTCTTTGAAATGGAGATCTGGTAGCACTGGCTAAAGCTACTCACAGTAGATCCCTCCAGCAGGTTTCCTCATCAAGATAACCCTTTATATCCCAACATTGCAGCACTAAAAATGAATAACTTTTATTAATTGATATGCTAGTATTACGGGTCTGTGGAATTCTGACACAGAATTACCAAGAGAGAGAATTGCCAGCCACTACATTTGTCCCATATCAAGTGCTGTGCAGCATTGCCTTAATGTCTTCATCCTGTCCTGGGTATATCCCCTTTGCATCAGTGATGGACTATGTTTGTACTCTGATGACTTGCATCTTTAAGTACATTAGGTTATTCTAAGTGACTTTTCCAAGTCTGAGGGTGGCCAATGCTCTCTAGGGAGTATAAGAAAAATGTGATTTTATGACGTTATCTCATGGCAATGTCAACATTCAAACAGACAACTATACTTTAAAAAGAAGTCTGTGTATTTTTTTTTTTCCTCCGTAATACAAGAGCTCCTAAAGTTGAAATCTGCTGGTTGGGTTGTGGTATAGGGGGTCACTGTTTCTGTTTCCTATCATCATGCTATATCAAAATACTCACACACATAGCCCTTCTGGATTCTGCTGCATGTTAGACATAACAGACCATGCTTCTGGGAATTGTAACACACCCTCGAAGAGATGAACTGTTTACAAATTATAAATACACAGACACTTCATTCAAAACCCAAAGAGCAGATTAGCTCCCTCCACCTAAACTATCTGTCTTAAATGACAGGGCTTAATTGCCAACTCCGCTTTTTTTTTCCTCCCTCTCCTCTCCCCAAATACCAGCACAGAGGACTGTAAAAGATAAGAGAGCTCTGTCCCTTTGGCACAAGCTGTTCAGTGGATGAATGCCTTCTCGGATTTATGCCATCTTGGACATGGAGTTCAGGCTGTGTTATGTCAGCTCTGGGGTCTGTCAGGCTGTCTGAATATGGATTGTTTTAAAATTACATCACTGAAACATCTTTTGTCTGCCAGTAGAAAGGTATAGACAAGTTACATGCAGCTCAATGTGAGTTGTCTGATTGTTGACCATTTCTATTTATTTTACTTTTTTTTTTTTTTTTTCTTTTTTGACAACAACTGTAGAGCTTCAACAGCAGACAGTTACCCTGTTTGAATGTGTGTATCATAGCACCCAACTGGAAAGAGTCTTGGAGTCGTCTTGTGATCTTAAGTTGTCTAGATAAAAGTTTGCATCTCCTTCAAAACAGACGAAACTTAAATTACTACTATTATCAGGTCTGGTAACTGATTCAAAAGAAAATCAGAGACAAAACTAAATCAACAATTCCTGTTTTGTTTTTTTTTTCTTGGAAGGCTTCTATCCTGTGGTGAGCCAGCATAGCCCTGCTTGGCTAGTGGGATGTAATAGGGAAAGATCAGATGACACTGTGGCTTTAAACCAAGTAACTTGGCAACTTCCAGTAAATTTTTAGTATCTCATGTACTGGAAAAAAGGAAAGTGGGAAAATATCCCCAAAAAAAGAAGAAAAATCCAATGTTTCTAATGTAGGAAGTTCTCTGTCAAAAGTAAGTACCAAAAATATACGAAGTTTTATGAATACAATTCAAAAAGACTTCAGCCGAACAAATTAAAGTCAAATTCATCCAGTAGCAAACATCTGACATTTTCCATTTGAGTTAGATTCAGCATGTGGAAACCTTCCGTATGGATCTTATTTGTACGGGTGGATTACGATGAAAATTGCATTAATTTTCTCCACAGTAAAGGTCAGTAATTGAAACATGAACCAAGAGTCTATTGTGTAAGATGCTATATCCCCATATTTAGGAAAGGTCATTCAAGACAATATCATCTCATTGTTTTTTTCCCTGGAAGTATAAATAATTTCATTAGTTTTTCTCTTCAATACAACAATTGCAATGTAATATTTCAACATCTCCCGTTAAGATTGCTGAAAAGAAATTATGATGGTAAAGACTTGAAAATACCCCATAATACACAGGGTAAGTTCAGACTAACGTCCTTGCACTCACCTTCTTCACAGAGTTATGGGCAAGATTGAGCCCTAAGAAAATCCATGAGGTGTGTGTTTGTTTAGGTGTGGACTCCCTTAAAGTGCTGTTCTTTCTTCAGTTGGCTTGTTGTGGCTTCTCTCTCACTGCCTCCTAATGAGTCCACATTCAGACCATGAACACGTTAGTGATGGAGAAGCCTAAGGCACACATTCTGCTACTTGCCTGAGCTGTGTTTGGTGCAAAGCTGGAGGATGGGACACTTCAAAGCATACATAATCATCTGGTCTTGCAACCATCTTGACTAAAGTGCAATAGAGGTTTCCAGGTATCACTTAAGACATGGTTATAGCTTCTGTAAGTTTTCTCCAGGCTTCTTATTAACCTAATCAACTTCTGGTTAAGACAGAATGAATGGGTTGTTCTGGTGGTGCTTTGCTCTTTGCTTAGGAGCCTCCTGTGTACAAGAAACTGGAAGATAAATGGTCTGTTGTTATTTCTTATTTACACTTCAGCATTGTTTAAGACAGCTCGTATCTGTAGGTATCTCATAAATTGGCACAATCCTTGTCTCGGCATCATGACCCACCCATTTATAGGTTTAGGCATGATGGGAGAGAAGGGTTGAAAGGAGGGACTTACAGAGGACTTTTATATATCCTAAGGGCTATGGTATGGCTCTCCTCACATTGAAATATTAACAGCCCTATGTCAGGCTAAAATTCTCCCTCTTGCACTGGAGGTAGGTAAACCGACACTGTAAATTCTCTAAATCTCTGGAGAAATATTAAGTAGCACTAGGCAGGTCACTGGACCAAGCACATAACCCTCAGGGAGTTCTTGTCCCTTGAAAATTCTAACTATTTAAAATGTTGTTAAAATTTTTTTTGAATTGGTCAGATTTATGAATAAGTCCCTCTTTCTCCTGTACCCCAAATTGCTAAAGATCATTACCTAGATTATAGATGATGATCCAGTAGTTTAAGTCAAATCACCGTGTGATTGTTCTTAGGTCTCGTATTTCTAGGAGAAAGCACTTATTTTGACCGGAGTTATTTTCTTTCCCCTTCCCTTCTTTAAATCAAAGATAACTGATGACTTTTTATCTCCATTCAGGCTTATTTCTTATTTCTTATGCACATGTTCCTTAC